TGAAGGGATATTTGAAGTATTTATCGACATGGGTTTAAAGAGTCCGAAATTTAGAGGAATTGTGGGAGAAAATAATTCATCTTTGTGGGAGCATTAGACTGGAACTGCTTCGGGATATGACAGTATCTCTATACAACAAATTCGTTTTTTTGCTCTTCAGAAAGGATGGAATATTTGAACTTCTATTACGTTAAATATTTGTTATTTTTAGAATTCCTTTTTATTTTTTAAGAAATCTACTTTGTTCAAGCTATTTTGACAATAAAATAACAATTTTTAGTTAAATAATATTTTTAATTTCATATCTAAGTAAAAATATATGTTTAGGCAAATTAACATGCATTATACCTGTATTCCATTTTTACACTGGTAGCAAAATTTACAATATGACGATGACTTTACCATACAATGATCACTTGCATTTGGTAAGGTGCAGTACTAGGATATTGACTGGAGAGTAAGTCCAGTTGAACAAATGAATTAATTATAAAACATTGCGACATTGTATTGAAATTTACACTGGCTAATTTTAATTCAATTGAATATATTTAGGGGATATGCAAACATATTACAATAGCCGTGTGGGGTACAAGGATTTCAGTGACAAGGCAGTCTTAGAAACACTGAATTGGAAGATTTGGATAATTTCACTCCTGCAATTTGGGGAAAAAGTGTAAAGAAATGTGAAGACTTAACTGAAAAATAGTGGATTTGTGAAGGTCGCATCGAAGCAGTTAATCCTGTTATAATTTACCATCCAAATGAGGATAGTGACTAAGTAATTATGACTGAATCCGATACTTAATAATAGTTTTGAGAGATTAGGAGAATATATGAATTCATAATTTTGTTTTTGTACTACTAATTAAATATTCTACTAAATAAATGTATGCAATTTCATCACCACAGGATTTTAAAAATTGGGAGAATTTACTATTGTATAATTCAGCACATTGGACTACTTAAATCTATACTTTCATACTGATCTCAAAACAATAATATTATATTCATGGAATAGACTGTATTGTTTTATAATAGTTTCCTTATTATAATCTTTGCTATTTTAAAATATAATATTGGTTGAAAATTAAATTTTTTTCTATTATTTCTACTATTTTCCTAGGGTATTACAATAAATTTTTATCTCTAAAAATTTAAATAGAATTAGAGAAATAATTATTGAAATATAATTATTTTTTATCTTGAGCACCAAGATGAGCAAAAATATTCACCTAGATCTAGATTTTTTGCACCAAATGCCAAATTCATTTCTAGTCTTGGGCATGTGTTTATTTGAGTGGTTGTGGAATAGATAGCCATCGCTTTAATATGTAAAACTAAATTACGGGATTAATTTTGTGATGTTTATATTTTATTTTGTTATATTGTATTTTTAATTAGCACACATATACATTTATTTTTTTTAAATAAGTATATTAGAGTATAACCATTGTAAACATAGTTAATCTTATTTGGCCTCAGCTAGTTTAAGATAAATAAATAAGAAATATACATGAATGGTGATCTAAGATCTTGTTCCAATTCATTATCAATTTTTACTAAGTAATGATGTAAGCTGAAGGAAAAAGGTACCTCAATATTTTAATTTCTATAAAGTTTTCATAAAAAGTATTAAATGAGTTATTTAAATAAATCAAGTGTCACTACTAAATATATTGAGTGCATTAAAAAATAACTTGCAAGATAAATTTTTTAACACCTTTGTTGCATCACCAGCTGAAAATGACTGGTAACTAGATTGGCGTAAAACATGGCTAATAATAAATACATATATATTGTGAATATTATACAGCTAAACCAGTTGGTATAAATTAACATTACAGGTACCTACTTTCTTGTCTCAAAGAAAACTATGTAATGGGAAGATAATTTACTACCAGACATATTCCACTGGTAACACAATCAAGCTATTTATTTTCTAATATGAGATTCCTAGACAAATTTATCTAGTACCAGGGAAATGTAGTTTGTGATTCCAGTTGTCTCAGTCAAGCAATAGTGTTTGAAATATTATTAGAAAGAATGAGTAACAGAAGTAATAGAACAGCCAAATTATTAAATTTAGCTTTGCAAAGTATCATTACAAATGAACAGGTTCGGTATAGAATCTAACCAAAATTTAGATGTACACAAAGTATCAATGATAAATACTTTGAGTGATTCAGAGGAAGAACCTTATGGCAAGAATTTGGACTGTGATCCTAATTATGTTTCTTTTAAGTCTTCAACTAGTTCAGATCTAGACAACCTAAAATTCTGAGAGTGACAGTGAGCATCTTGAGAATGCAAGTAAGTGGGCAAAGTAATTATTCTCTTATTTTTATTTCAGTGACATTTGTAGGAGACCAAACTTTGACTTCTTCAAGTGAAATTTTTGGTGACATAGCACCTCTCAATGAATGGAAAGCATTAAATGAGGGTAATCATAGAAATATTGGTATAAATGAACATTCAGTGAATTCAATGATTAACTTTCAGACTGATTCTATAGTCCTATTGAAGCCTATTCAATGTTTATAAAGACACTGTCATTAATCTCATGGTTATGGAAACCAACTGATGCACCTCTCAACAGTTAAGTATCAATCCACTAAAACATAAGTCTAATCAAAGATGTTGGATGATCAACAAGAAATTAAGTTTATTTAGCACTTGTCATTTGTACAGGAATAACAAATACTTTACAATACTACTAATCTAAAAACCTTCTTTACCATTAATAATATATAATAATGCTACCAATAGGTTTAAAAGTAGCATTATGACAAGGGACAGATTTTTATTGATCTTAAAATATTTGCATTTTAATGGTATTGACAGATTGCAGAATACCACAGATAAACTTTATTGAATTCAAACTTTATTAGATATTTTAAAAAAATAACAACTTTCAAGAAATATTGACACCAGGTAGGTCCATTGTTATCAACAAAAGTATGATTCCTTGGAGAAGATGCTTTGGAATGCATCAATAGTTGCTTGAGAATGTGTCAATACATTAAAAATGAGCATCACAAGCGTAAAGCTGTATAAAGTCTGTACAACAGATGGTTATACTATACAGAATTAAAGTATAGTAAAGAAGATTGCAAGTAAGGGACATTCACATAATGCTATGATAATTATGGATACCTTACTAGATACAGGAAGAACACTGTAGGCTGATAATTTTTATTCTAGCTTACCATTAGTGTAAAACCTATTAGAAAGAAGACCATTTTAGTGGGGAACTTTAAGAAACAACCATAAAGGTCTCCCTAAAACATTTATTACAAACAAAACTAAATCTAATGAAGTGGTAGTGGAAGAAATAAAAATTATTAAGTAGCAAGATAAGCAGCCTGTTTTGTATTATAATACTTATTAATCATAACACATAAAGCACAACACTGCTCTTCATAAGACTGGCTGAAAAAATAGAAAACAAGAAAATATTTTAAAGCCTCTGTGTTATTAATTAATAATAATTAATATATAATAAGTAATTAATAATAACAATTATTATTTATTTTATTTTTATTTTATTTATTATTATTATTTTATTATTAATATACATTTTTGGGAGATACTCCAGCATACAAAGTCAAATAGGGCTCGAAAATATGGAAAGAGTCCCACTAGAGCTCAATAGGTATTTGGGATTATAATAATTATTACAACAAGGCCAAAAAAGGGGTTGATTATAGTGATCAAATGTCAGCATATTATATCGCTCTTAGAAAGACACTGAAGTGGTATAAAAAATTTTTGGGCAGCTTGCAGCTTTAGTGAACACCTGGTAATTACCAATAAGATAAACTCAAATGCTAAGTGGCCTTAAATTTTACCAATAAGTCGCACTTCAACTTGCCAATAAGTCTGAATCTATAGAACAAATTCTAACATGAAGCATATACTTACTGAACAAGTCCTAAGGATCAGGTACTAAAAAAGGTGAAATTGTACAGAATTGAATAAAAAGCTGAGAGAAACAATGAAAAGTGAAGATACAGATGCAAAAGTAACTAAAGTTACTACATATGTGATACCTACAACGGAAAACCTGGTTTATGTTTATCATGATTTAATGTTAAACATAATACATAGATTTTAATATTTATATTATTATTCTCATAAATTTTTGAATTATCTTTTATATGAACATGTATTTTACAATATTTTTCACAATGAAGTTTAAGTTTTGCTTCATTTGAAAATGAAAAATATTATATGCAGTTCTTAAGAATATCAGTTTTTGTTTTATCAGACAGAATAGTCTGGTGCTAATATAGTTTTCCACAAGTTTTTGTGTTCCAACTTAACACTGATTTATACTGCTACCACTACACATAAACCTTACCAAATGTATATATATATATATATATATATATATATATATATATATATATATATAGAGTGCACTCACATTTCTTAAGCATTACCAGCCTATTTAAACTAGGGTATATAAAAATAAAAATCTATAATTCTAATCATTTAGGACTGGTAGGCATTTAATATAAGGATCATATTTTTCATGAATGCAACAAAGGTATTAAATAGTTTATATATTTGGTACAACTTATTGACCAATTTTTACTGTGGGAAATGTCCAAACTGAAATTTTGAAAAATTCAAATATAACAAAATACAGATGCTGATAATTTTTTTGGTATTTGGTTTCAGTAAATGCCAAATTTGGAATCTATGGTGATACAACTGTCTGCCTGTCTGCTGAAACTTACATAACTAGTGCATCTTAGCATTTATATTTGAAATATTTAAATTAGATGAAAGCCGAAGTTAAGTGCAGTTTTCACATTTATCTCAATTGAAACATTATTTTAAAGATTATCTCACAAAAAAAATACAAAACAAAATCTGATAATCTGGATGATCTCAAAAATTGAATACTGAAATATAACATAAAACTGAGTAATTATTTAAAGCAGTTTGTAATCCTATAAAAGTAATGACCATTTTAATAATGCATAAATACTTACCTTGAGAAGTTCTCAAGATGATTTCTTGAGGTTCTGAATGTCCGGCAGTAGCCAACCGCAATGATATCACCTGATCTCCTTCAACTTGAACACTGAGTATCCCAAGTGCTCTAAGGTGCTGGGAACCCTCATTAGCTAATTGTCTAAGACGTAACGCTGCTTCCCTAGGAATGGACAGCGTTACACGCACTGAGTTCCAGGGCTCCAGTTTGTGTACTTTCACTGATTCACCCAAAATAGTATTTAAACTGTCCACCAGTATATTCAACTGTGTAGGGAACCTGGGATCTGACAGGTCCCCTTCACAGGTTAAAATAGCAGATAGTTCAATACTGCCGTCACTATTTGCTGCCATTTAAAATCGGCATGTTGAGCCGTAATTGCCCCTATTGGAATTCACATGCTGCATGAGAGCCATTCAAAGTACTTCTAGGCACCTAGAACATCAATTAATTGCAATTAAAATAAAATTTACAATATATAATATATATATATATATATATATATAATATATATATATATATATATATATATATATATTTGTGTGTGGTTAAGATACTGCTAAATCTGTTTATAAGGTTGGTCTTATTTAAATGTGCGATATTATTAATGCTTGAGTATAAAAGGTATGGAATTTTCTCAATAGGTAGGTCAATATTGATAATACAAAAATTAGCAATTGATTGTGGTTCTCATACAATATTTCATAGAAACATACTTTAAGTCAGTAAATGTCACTTTGTTTAGTAACCAGTTTAGAATATCCTCCATGGAAATATAGTTAATAAAATCTAGAAACATTCTGTCAACTAGAGTACTTTTAGCATATATAGTTTTTACAAAATAAATTATTTACTGGTGTAAATTGTTCTTTATTATTTTATAAAATTTATAGTTTGGTTATATTATTGCTATTTTTTTTTATAACTTTACTAGATTAAACTATTCTATTGAATTCCACTGTGTACTGAAGAAAATATGAAAATACCTACTAGAGGTTATTACTACAATAAAAATCTTGATAGTATATATTCATATAAAATTGTTTCAATAATAATAAGTTATTTTTCGGATGAAAAAATATCATTAAAAAACTAACAAAAGCTAATGTCTAAAAACTGAATCTAAAATTTATTGAAAAATAAATTAATTATAATTAAAACCTTTTACGTTTGATCATATTTTAGAAATTTTGGCGGTCATTTAACACGAACAAGAAAAATCACATACAGGTAAAATGTGAAGAATAGCATGACTTCAGGTCCTAATATGTTTATCAAACTGTTATGGACAGACATATTACACACATTTTAAATACGTAATCTGTATGCAAAGTGTTAAATCGACGTCAATAATTATAAAAACCAAGCAGTTAATTAAAATACGAGGTATTTGTAGGGCTTTCATCAATTAATAAGCACCAATATCGCAAAATATGAAGATGGATATGATCGCAGCCATCTTGTTCCTTTGACGGGGGAGTGTTATTCCATGTGTTCAAATAGAGATTTCACGGTTCACAAACTCAATCACTCCTTAAACTTTTCAAAACTACAAAAACAACGTTACACAGATTCATCCCGCAGAATTTCTAATCGTCCTCTCATACATAAGTGCAAATATTTATTACGGAAATTGATTTGCTTACGGGCAAGAAACATTATATACCCCATTTTATGTGACATACTTTTGACACTCAAATGAAGAATCCAGTGGAAAAGTCTTACTTAACACTTGTCTAACTAAACTAGATGGTCACAATATTGTACAATTTTATGTAAAAAGATTGTATAAGCACTCATAATCTTATTACAAATAATTAAACGCTTTCAACAATAACAACTTGACGCCATTCGTCATGCGTAAACTGAATGCGCACGGGATTAACACGAAATCGAACACTCACGGAAATACGGTTATGACACCGATGTGAAGTTTACAACGATACAACCTTCATTTCACTTCACATAATCCCAAAAGTTTCATGGACGGAAAGCTTAAATTTTTTTGGGGTTGTGAAATGTGTTTAACTTTATTCTGTGGTATGTCTAGATTAAGTAATTTGGGTACTCCAATATTATTATAGAACGCTAAAATAATATTTTATATACTTGTTTTTATTGTTAATAGAGTTTATACGTGTAACTTATTAAAAGCCCCATTTTCCTTATGTAAAAGTGGTTTCAGTTAAATTGGCTGAAACTTTACAGAGGGGTCTTTGGTCATGCTGATTAAAAGTTCTTATTGCCTCAAGAGCCAAAAATCATTTGCTTCTGGATTACAGAGCTTCAAACTGCCAGTTTTTAAAACATTTTAGTGATATACATATTTTTAGGGTGTTAGTAAAAAGTAAATGCGAAAAACTTCAGGAGTTGATTCTACTTAAAAAATATAATAACAGTTTGATTTATAAATGTATGTCCAAATGTCAAATGTATATGCAAATGGAATTTGGTGAGTTTTAAGATATACTCATTGCGCACTTTTTGACCTACAATTTTTATATTAGGCGCCAGAGTTTTATATTAATCATTGGCGCGCATACGGGTAATAGTCTCATTTTTTTAAGAAAAAAATGGTATGGTTTTATACTGGTCCCCAAACAAATGTTACATTTTTTTAGTTAAGTCTAAAAGAGGTTTGGATATACTTGCGAAGTTTTTCACAAAATATCGAAACTAACTAAAAGTTTGTAACAATGGTAAAATATGTTTAACATTGCTTGGAATAAGCATTTCAGTAATTGCTGATATTTTCCCAGGATCAGGAGCGATTCAATTGGGTGTCAAAACGTATTCGAAATACTTGACAGAAGAGCGCACAAAAGTAGTCTTTCCTCTACTTATATACAACTGAAATACTTCTGGTAATACTGGTAATCCGCTACGAATACGATCAATAAGTATTTGGAAGGTAGCAGGCGCGTTTTGAATCTAAAAATACCATAAGAAATAATAAACGAAGTTTTACCTCGATCTGATGGACGAACAATTATTTGATGGTAACCACTTTTCAAATCTAGTGTCATGTGCAATAGATCATCCATCCTCGGTAGGGGATACCTATCTGGTACAGTTATTTCATTAAGGCGTCTGTAATCAACGCACACGCGAAAGGTACCGTCTTTTTTTTTTGAACGAGCATAGTAGGTATAGAATAGAGCATAAGCTAAGTCGCATTCGTTAGTGATTTTCTTTTTCAATAGGATTTAATTTACGTACCATTAAGCCAAAAACCATATCCAACTGAACCTTTTCAGTTAGGGCATAAATATATAACAACTATATGCAATAAAAATTATTTGATTGAGAAAGTATAATATTTATTTAATTTAAAATCCGAACACATTAAATAAAATTTTACATTTAGCAACAAAATAGTAAAAAAATTTGAGGAACTACGAAATTATGTTAAATATAGGTAGAATCTAATCTAATCTTCTAACACTCTGTCGAATAACGAGTGAGCAGCGGATTCGATTCTAGTTCTAGGATTAGAAGTTCTCTAATTTAGAACTAGCTGCTGCCTGGTGGTAGATAGCAAGGTATGAAAAATACAATTCTCACATGGAAAGATTCTGTAAATGCCTTAAAAGATGTCCATTTAAAAAAACTTACGCCTCTTTTAATATTTCGTGAAGTATTCTCGCATGATCAAAATTCTAGTGAACCTACTCAATTATTTGTTTCTCATATTCGAGCGTTACTTGCACAATAATTACCTTATGCCCTAACTGAAAAGGTTCACTTGGGTATGGTTAATGGCTTAATGATACGTAAATTACTAAAAACGCTACAAAGAAAAAAATTTTAGAATTTTAAGAAACTTTTAATAGAATCCCGAGAAATTGAATCATCCTTAAAAGAAGGTTTAGTTACTACTACCGACTCTGACCACTGACTCAGAATGTGAAAAATATAACAATATTAGTCAAAATAAGCAATCAATGAATTCTAATTCTAATGATTCAATTAGCACGTACGTATTTTATCTTCTATAAATCCGATTACCACAGAAGTCCCCTATATATATATAATATATATATATATATATATATATATAATATATATATATATATATATATATATACACTTCATCTAATTTATATAACTTAAAGAAATACACAATAATATGTTTCATTTAATTTGTATAAATGCAATATAAAGCGTTTTTATCAAGAACATTTGTTCGGAACACACTGTAACTGTAATCGAACAAAGGTGAAACTTTGCATAAATTGGTAACACTTATTTGACAGTTGCGGTGTTGACACTTTTTGCACATTATTATTTTGAATTTTAAAGTGAATATCTCTTTTTTATATTTTTTACTATTTAATAAAATCTGTTCTTTTTAGAACAAAATTAGTGTGTTTTATTTCAAAAATGTCACGTAAGAATTTAAATAGTCGTTGTAAAGAGATGGTAATACTTTTCAATAATTATGTGATCTATTTGATTTAAAATGGAGTCAGGACTTTTTTATACTTTGGCAACTATGTCAACTTCGATCTCTGACGTAGATAATGACGTAAGTCGTTATCTAAATTAGATGAAGAATATATATATAATATATATATAATATATATATATATATATATATATATATATATATATATATATATATATATATGTGTGTGTGAATGGAAAGTTTTCAGTCAATTTGGAGATATCAAAGACAAGAGTTGTGCTACTTGATCTATTTATTGAAGACGTTTCGCCCACTGTTCAATGAGCATCATCAGTTCATCTAAAAGAGTGTTATTAGCGATACATCTAATATGAGAAACAATTAAGTAAATAATCTTACCGTTAAAAGATCTCTAGCATTAAAAATTGTATAAATTTGAAGAAACATCAATATAAGGACAAAATTAATCTAATTAAAACATCAGCAAAAAAACCAAATCAGATAATGCCAGAAGATTCCCAATTTATGCAATTTTATAATATTTTTTTTAATGTAACTCTTGACATTGACTTATTATAAAATCTATCAAAAAATGTAATTGTCAATTTTAAAATATTATATTAACAAGGGCACGGCTCAGGCTTTTTGACTGTTATGACCATAACATGCGAAATGAAGAAATATATAAAAAAAAATATATAAGCCAGATAGTTATATATATTTTATGACGTTTTTTATACTTCATATCCCTCTTGATAATGGCTCCAAATGGAGCCGAAACGTCGAGCATTAAATTCTCCACGCGGTTCTTCCCGAGAACCTAGTGATTTTCATATATATATATATATATATATATAATATATATATATATATATAATATATATATATATATATATATATATATATATATATATATATATATATATATATATATATGATATAATATGTTTTTTTACATATGTTAGCTGTGCTAAATCTTACATCTGCGCTGAATGTATCGTGGTCATAAATCCTCCGGCTATGGGATTTCGAGAAATTCATATAACCAATGTTTCTCTGTGATTTCTCTTTTCACATCACATATGTGGTTTTTGACTCTGGAATTTGACAAAGGACGGCCACAATAAGATTATATTATTAAAACTTTGAACTAAATGTGTAATACTTCAGTTTTTTCTATAATTAATAGAGTATCTCATTCTTATTGTTTACAAAATGCTCAGCTGTTTATTCATTTGTTGTTTCATGCTTAACATTTCAAATCAATTATGATCTAAATCTGGCAACATTAAATATTTAATTTGACAGTACACCGATAGATGGAAATCAGAACAGTTAATTGTAAAATCAACACAACAACACTTGGTTAAATAAATGATTTCATTATAAATTATTATAAAAATTATCATGTTTATTCATTCTGCTTAGCAATGAACGAATAACTGTAGTTCTACGTATAATTATATTTTAGGTTTTATTGAATCATGTTGACACGTATACTCGGAGCGACATCTATAATATGCATGATGAACTAAAAAAATGATTTAATTTGATATTCATGTTCACTCACACCAAAGAATATAGACGCATATGCAACATGCAACGCATATGCGTCTATAAATTCAATGTTGATACATTGGTTACTTCCGTATATAAATATAAACCCATTGCCCTTGGACCAAATTCATACTTAAAGCCCGACTGTTCTTGTTTTATTGTGACATATCTTAACAAATACATTCGTTATTGCATCTTTATTTCTGTTTGCTTAAAATTTCTTTGTGCTAACTTTTCTTTTATGTTTACTTTGTTTATAATTCCTTTAATTTTACTGGAACTAGTCAACTACTAATACCCAGAATAATATTGGACCATATATATATATAATATATATATATATATATATATATATAATATATATATATATATATATATATATATATATATATATATATATATAATAAAAATATCAGGGACAGTAACGGGTTACGGGAAACTAGAATCTTCCTTAAAAATAATCCTAATCTTCTAGTCACAAAATCAGACAAAGGTAATGTAACTGTACTTATGAATAGAGACACATATATCCAGAAATCATTGGACCTCCTAAATGATCACGATACATATGTAATGATTGATAAAGATCCGACCACTTTAATGGAGAATGCTTGTAATAAGTTGGTTAAACGTCTCAAAGAAAAAAAATACATCACTTCTGAAATAGCCAAATCTATCACTACCTATAACGGTATCTGTCCAAAATATTATGGATTACCCAAAGTCCACAAACCAGAGATACCTCTTAGACCTATAGTATCCTGCATTAAATCCTCTATTCAACCGTTAGCTAAAATGATATCTGAAGTGTTAACTACCTCCTTTGATACGTTTAACAAATTTAAAATAAAAGATACTTTTGATTTCGCACAAAAAATCAATAACACAGTTATACCAAATA